GAAGGACTGAGATCCTGCAGAAAACTGATGGTGAGCAGAGAAGGGATCCTGGAGTCAGGGCTGGGAGAATCACTTTCTCATTGCCCTGCAAGCATCTATGGGCCGGTGTCCTCTCTGGCCGGCCTGCGAGCCTCCTTGGGAAGCTCTTTTTTGCACCATCTTCAGGTGGGATGGAGACCATGCAGCTTTTTGAGGAGGCAGCGACAGTGCAGATCCTGCCTCAGGTGGGTCTGGAGCAGCGATCTCCCGTTCTTTAGCTGAAATCCAGCACTGCTTTCCAGCTGAAGTTGCCTGAATGTTGACCCCGAATGCGATAGCAAGCCTGTGATAGTGTTTTCTCACCTGCTCAGATCTGCCTCCCCAGCCGAGGGAGACGGGAGAGAGTGTGGGTTTGCAGAGCCTCTTTGGAATGTGGGGTTCAGGGATGAGGGTCTGGGGAGGCTGCTGGCCCACCCTGAAAGTTATAGTTCCCATTCTGTTCTGCCGGAGAGGACAGAAAGAAGTGAGAGGGAAGGGGTTGTGACCTACGGCTCTTGGTTGAGGACCACAGATTTCAGGAGCTTGCTGGTTCAGGGCTCTCAGAGCACTTTTCTCCTTGAATTCCTTCCCTTATGTCCAGGAGGCCATGCTATCCTTGTCCGCTTGGGAGGAAATCAAGGTTGAGGGAGGTTTGGTGGCTTACCTGCATCCCACAGGCTCTAAGTTGGTAGAGCAGGAATTGAATTTGGAAAAACAGACCTGTTCTTAGCCTTTTGGGCTGCTGAAGAAATCATAGGTATTTTTTAAAGATTTAGTTTTGGGTCTGGTGTGGTGGCCTATCGGCTTAAGTCCTCATCTTGAAGGCTCCAGAATCCCATATACGTGCCGGTTTGTATCCCAGCAGTTCCACTTCCCATCCAGCTCCCTGCTTGTGGCCTGGGAAAGCAGTTGAGGATAGCGCAAAGCCTTGGGACCCTGCACCTGTGTGGGAGACCCGGAAGAGGTTCCAGGCTGTTGGGGTCAGGCACATCGCAGGTCACATCCAAGTGTCTTGGTGGGGCCCGGCTGCCTTGACTTCTGTCCCAGCCTCCTGCTACTGCACGCCCTGGGGGACAGCAGGTGGTGCCTCAAGCCCTCAGATCCCTGTCACCCACACAGGAGATCAAGGGAAAGTTCCAGTCTCTTGGTTCTGGCCCAGCCTTTGCTACTGTGGGCGTCTGAGGAGTAAAGCAGCAGGTGGAAGGCCTGACTCTTTTACTGTGGCTTTCTACCTTTCAGTAAAAGTGAAAATCAAAGAAGAAAGAAGGAAGGAAAGATGCAACAGTGAGGAGCCTAGAAAAAAAAGGGGAATGAAAAATGGATTTCAAAGATGAGCTTATTTTAGGGCAAATATTTTTGAAAATCCGTGCATGAAAGAGGTTTCAGAAAGTTCATGAACTGCAGTTTTTTGCATCAAAATAAATGTCTAGCTTTGAATTCAGTGTTTCAGCAAATCCTGGGGGTATCCCTGGAGGATGGTCTCCTGGCTTGTACATGAAGTGCAGGGTTAATTGTGTGAGCTTAGGTGCACAGTGAACAGAGGTGAGATGTGGGGAGGGAGAACTGTCCCCTGGCCTGGGGGATGGTCTGCCAAGAACAATCTGTGTCTGGGTCATGGGGCCGTCCTGGGCAGACTGGGACAAGACTCTCTGGGTTCCAGTTCCCCCAGTCAGCATCACAAAGAACCAGATGTTAACAGCTGAATCACATCAGACTGCAGCTTCTACTTCCAGGGCATGATAGGCTGCTAGTGGGGAGGGTGCAGCTTTTTGTTTGTTTGTTTTAAGGTTTATTATTTTTATTGGAAAGTCAGATATACAGAGAGGAAGATCTTCAGTTCGATGATTCACTACCCAAGTGGCTGCAATGGTCAGAGCTGTGCCAGTCTGAAGCCAGGAGCCTCTTTCGGGTCTTCCATGTGATTACAGGGTCCCAAGGCTTTGGAACGTCCTCGACTGCTTTCCCAGACCATAAGCAGGGAGCTGGATGGGAAGTGGAGCTGCTGGGATTAGAACCGGCGCTCATAAGGGATCCCAACATGTGCAAGGCGAGGACTCTAGCTGCTAGGCTACCGTGTTAGGCCCAGGGTGCTGTTTCTTTTTAAGATTTATTTATTTTTATTGGAAAGTCAGACTTACAAAGAAGAGAGACAAAGGAGAAGATCTTCCATCTGCTGGTTCACTCCCAAAATTACTGCAATGACCAGAGCTGAGCAGATTTGAAGTAAGGAGCCAGGATCTTATTCTGGGTTTCCTACATGGATACAGCAGCCCAAGAACCTGGACCATCTTCCACTGTGCTCCTAGCCCATAAGCAGAGAACTGGATTGCAAGTAGAGCAGCTGGGATAAGAACCAGTGCCCGTATGGGTTGTTGTCACCACAGGGTAGAAGATTAGCATGCTGTGCCATTGCACTGGTCCCAGAGTAACGTATAGATAACTTTCAATCTTGCTATTGCATACTGCATTTGGGGGTTAGTATTGTGCCATAATGGGTTAAACTGCCACTTGAAGTGCCATTGTCCAGTATAGCCCCAGTTTGAATCTTCGATACTCCACTTTGATCCAGCTCCCTACTGATGAGCCTAGGAAAGCAGCAGAAGGTGGCCCATGTCTGCAATGACTAGAGTTGAGCTGATCCGAAGCCAGGAGCCAGGAGCTTCCTCTGGGTCTCTCACATGGGTGCAGGGTCCCAAGGCTTTGGGCTGTCCTTGGCTGCTTTCCCAGGCCACAAGCAGGGAGCTGGATGGGAAGTGGGGTAACCAGGATTAGAACCAGCACTCATATGGGATCCCAACGCCTGCAAGGCAAGAACTTTAGCTACTAGTATATACAGCCTGTGGCTTGGGGGAAGGTGCAAGCACCACCAGCAATAAATCAAATCTTAAGGAGAAATAACTTCCCATCATCTTTGCCACCTGTGTAGGAGGGTGCACCTCTGGGTGAGCTCCCTCAGGGACTTGTTCTGTGATGACTCAGTTTTCCCTGCTGTGAAATGGGAAGTGGACAAGTTGCCAATGCTGAGGAGGGTTGTTTTGAAGAATTTTTTATTTCTGTTCCAAGAAAACCAGAGGACCAGCCCTTGCCCCATGGAAATGCGGCTCCCTTCGTTTCTGCTCCTCTTCATACCCATCCCTGCCCTGATTTAAGACACTGGCTCTGTCTGCCAGTCTGGCATCTCATTCTCACTCCCTCCCTTGATTTCTTTGAGGTTTGACCCCTTTCATTCTGGGCTGTAGAAGTTTTCTATATTACAGGTAGGGTGTTTGACCAATAGAATTTTACCTGAAAGCTGAAATAAGAATTCGAGTTTGATCTGTGGTTGGCAAGACTTTGAAAGGCAGTTCTAGATTATCAGAGTTTTTTTTTTTAATTTATTTATTTATGTAAAATGCAGAGTTACAAAGTGAGAAGGAGACAGAGATTGTCCATTCACCAGTTCATTCCTAAAATGGACACAACAGCCAGGACTGGACCAGGCTGAAGCCTGGAGTCTGGAACTCCGTCTCGGTCTCCCACATCAGAGTGCAGGTCAAGATGCAGACCATGACCTGTGCTGGTGACAGGAAGGGCCTGGGCACAGCTGAGCCTTCCCTGGGCTGAGGGCGAGGCAGTGACAGATCTAGGGAGTGGCGAGCTTGGCCCTAGATGGCCGCTCGGCTTTGCCGCTGCCCTTTGCCCTCTGACAATCCCAGATCCATGGGTGTCCATAGCACACCCCACGGGCATTCTGCTTCTCCAGCTCTCACGGTTAGGCCGGGCACACTGAAGCATGCACCGTTCCCCGATTCCCACCAACCCAGCTGCTGTATGGCCAAGGGCTGGGTGCCACTCAGAGAGGCCCACCTGCACCTGCGGATGAGCCATTTGGGTGACTGGTAACTGTCTCCAGCTCAAAGCTCAAGAATCCGGACCCCACAGGCCTTTGCTAGCTGGGACTCATCAAGCTCCAGGCAGGTGAGAGTGAGCTGGAGGAAGAACGCCCTGTTCTAGGCTCTTGGGTCTCTTTGCATTGACCACCTGTTCCCCATTGGCTCGTCTGTGCTTCTTGAGTGTGCACTGGCCCCAGGCAAGGCCTGGGGCAGCGATGTGGGAATGTGAGTGAGCAAACCAGGTGAGCGCTGAAAAAAAAAAAAAATGTGAGCACTATGAACCCGCTGGTACGAACTGGAATGACACAGTCTTATGTATCTGCAGATTTTACAAATGAGGATTCTACCAACTACCAATCAGAAGTGCTGGGAGGGGTGGAAAAATGCTGGGGGTACATTTGCATCTGAACAGGATACCAGTTTTTCCCTGTCATCACTGTACAGTGTTTTGACTATTTGAACTGCCTTTACAGGGCATGAGTTAATGTAACTGATTGGAGGATTTGTGCCGGCCACCTGTAGGTTGCACTCTTCTTTATTTGAGCTCCTACATGAGCATCTGTACAGTCTGGCATCCTCGGAGGGGGTCCTGGAACTGACAGAGCATGGCTTGTTCCACTGGCACACGTGGTTATAGGTCAGATGCAGGGGGAGGAGGAGTCCCCATGCCTTGATGGATGGAGCCGTGTACTTGCACTTGGAAGTGGGAATGGGTGCAGCTTCCCTTGGGGACCGCCCATGGAAAGCGGTGTGGCTCATCGGGACCCAGACCCCTTGCTTCTCCATGCTCCTCCACCCTCACCATTTGCTTCTGCCTCCTCATGGGCTCAGGTGGTAGCCAGGGCTCTAGTCAGTGGGAAGTGTTCCTCCAGCCAGCCTGGTAGCCTTATGGTTGTACCTGTGGTCAGGTGGCGTCCGGGCTGGAAGTCAGGACCTTGTTCTGATGAAGGAGGGAGGAGGGCGAACGCGGCAGCACCTGCTGGTGATGCTCACACCTTTCCCCAAGCCACAGGCTGTGTGGAATTTCCAGGGAACAGAGGCGTTTCCCCACCCCCAAACATGTCCACTGCCTGCACCCCCTCAGAGCTTCTCTGTGTTTCCCCTTCCCAGTTCACCACGGGCACGTGCGAGGACGCGGTACTCCACAGCTGTGACCTCTGCGGCAAGAGTTTCCGCCTGCAGCGCATGCTCACCCGTCACCTCAAGTGCCACAACCAGGTGAAGCGGCACCTGTGCTCCTTCTGCGGCAAGGGCTTCAACGACACCTTCGACCTGAAGAGGCACGTGCGCACACACACAGGTGAGGCAGGTGTAGGTCGTTCGCTCTGGATCTGTTCTGGTCCCTTGCGCCTTCTCTTCCTGTCCCACCTTTGCATGGAGCAAAGGCGAGGTTTTCTGGAAAGATCCCAGGGGAGGTGCATCTTGCACGGCTCACCCTGGGCAGCACTCCGCCATCCCCCAGCCTTCTATTGGCCTTTGTAAGAGAATTGGGGATCATGGGATCAGTTTGAGCAAGGTGCAAGGCGGACCGCCTGCTGGGATATCCTGAGGACTATTGCTTGCGATGTGGATGCTGGGCGTGTCTCCTGGCTGCTAGGATGTGTTCGGTGGTCCTGCCACCACTGGTTGATACCCCTCCTGGACAGTGAGCCCGCTAAGTTGCCTCGTGTTCTGTGAGCTCACCTGTGAGCCTCCCACTTCAGCCTGCAAGCTAGCGCCTTCCTTGGCTTTAGGAAGTGGGGTCTGGGTCCTGGGCAGTCCTGGGGGTTCCCACTGGCACTGGCCACAACCTCATCAGATATGTCTTAGTTGCATTCAGCATCTGGACTGCCCTGTCGGGGGTGCTGGTGCATACCTCTGAAGAGTGGTCCCCTAGGGGAGTGTTCATGGGGGACCACTCCCTCCACCAAACTTCCCCAGTTCTGAGGGGAACAATCCAGGATCCCCCATCTTACTCATTCATGGGAAATCCCTCTGGAACCCATCCTTTAATTCCCTGCCTCCCATCATCTCAGCCCATCTTTAACCCTTTCAGTGCCACCCATCCACCTGCGTCGTAGCCTTATTAGAATTCACCCTGTGGAGTTCTCCTTCATCCTGTAAACCCTCCCAGGATTGGGGGTGCCCCTGGTAGTGGGGTACTGCTCCCTCCCAGTGGGGTTCCTTGACCTTAAGGTCCTTCTCAGCGCCCCAGCATTCCCTTTTCTTTGCTAGTGCTGCTGGTATTTCCTTACTCTTAGAATACCTGATGTGAGCTGTCACCCTGACCTGGGAAGATGGTCCCTTACCTTGGAGGGCTGGCAGGTGCACTGAAGGGGGCCTTTCTTTTCCTTTAAGTGCAGCATGCATCTAGAAAAGTACATGCTGTTGTGGGAGCTGCCAACGGTGAAGTTAGGGATTGTTGCAAAGCAAACCCAGGCAGTTTGCACCTACCCCAAGAATTAAAGCCTTCGCAGCCCCCGAAAGTTGCCATTTCCCTCTTGGTGGGGACCTGCAGTCGTGACCTCACAGAGCATACATTACCTTTGCCTGCTTTTGGACTTGCTATAAATGAAATCCAATCGTTTGGACACTTTGGATCTGACCACAGCTTATTGTTGTCTTTAAGTTTTGTTTGTTTTGTTTGTTTGCAAGACACAGTGATAGATGCAGGTGGAGAGAAATCTTCCATCTGCTGGTTCGTTCTCAAATGTCTGTAACAGCTAGGAGCCAGGAACTCTGTTGAGTCCTCTCCCATGGGTGGCAGGAACCCTCGTTCTTGGGCTGCCAGTAGCCTCCCAGGGTGCTAGGTCAGAAGCAGAGGCAGGCTGCTAGGTCGGGCAGTCTGAGAGCAGCTCCCAGGGCACCACACCGCAGAGCCTCCCACCAAGGCTGCTTTTCACTTTTTATTTATTTTTTATTAGAAAGGCAGATTACAGAGAGAAGGAGAGACAGAAAGATCTTCCATTCATTGGTTCACTCCCCAGATGATCCCATTGGCTGCTTTCCCAGGTCACAGACCAGTAGCTAGATGAGAAGTAGTGCAGCTGGGACAAGAACTGGTGCTCATATGGGATCCTGGCACTTGCAAGGGGAGGATTAGCCAATTGAGCAATCACGCTGGGTTCTAAAGGCTGCTCTCTAATCCCCTGCACCAGTGAACAAGTTGAAATTGGGCCCTGGCAGGCCAGGTTGACGATGAGCTTGGCATAGGGAGTTAAGTTTGGGGACTGGCTGGCATGTCCCCAGGGGGGTTGGCAGGTCCTGTAAGTGCTGAAGGGCTCTGAAGAATCTCAAAGTTGCATCTCAGATAGGTGCCTGTGAGATTTTGTCCAAAGCAGCTTTCTGCCTTAATGTTTTCATCTCTGAAATGGGCCTGCTTTTTTTTTTTTTTTTCCCCCTTTAACTCTCATGATGGCTGGGAGCTTCCAGATGGAAGTCCTGAAGTGCATTACTGTCACTGGTAGTGAATGTCACGATCCCTGGCCGAGGTCTCCTGGGGCCCTCATCTGAGCCAGGGAACGGAGGTGCCAGCACCTCTAACGCTTGTCCCATAGGCTTCACGCAGGAGCTGATTGCCGGGAAGGCTGGTGCTGAAGAGGGTCCTGGCAGTGGGCAGTGTGGAGCAGGCCTAGTAGGACAGTAGCCTCCGGCCACGTCCAGTTCCTCAGCCTCTGTATGGGGGATGCGGTGTGAGGGTAAAATGTATTTCTTTAAAAAGAATGCAAAGATCTCAGTTTTTAATATGGATTTCAGAGGGAAATGGTCGTGTTTTAGAAACATTGAGTTCAACAGAGTATTTCATTAGAATTCATTTTACTTGCTTCTCTGGTTTAATGAAGCTACTAGAGAATTTGACTTACCTTTCTTTCTCCTTTTTTTTTTTCTTAAAAAAAATCATGATTATTTCTTTTTAATTTGAAACAGAGGCAGGCAGAGATCTTCCATCTGCTGGTTCACTCCCCAAATGCACGGAACAGGCAGTCAGGTCAAGAGCATGGGTGGTGAGCACCCAAATACTTGAACCAACACCTGCTTCCTCCCGGATCACACTTGCGCAGGAATTCTGAGATGCAGGAGTCCCCAACAGCATCTTACCTGATTTTGAAATGTATTTCAGTTCATCAGGAGACCAACTTGTGGACATGTCTTGGGCATGTTTTCCCTGCCCTGACTTCTTTTTGGATGGAAATGTGTGCCCTTAAGGAATAAAGAGCCAAAAGGAGCTGGCCAAGGTTTCCTGACAGATTAGCAGGTGTTGATTAGCAGGTCCTGGGAGCTGGAGGATCCTTAGCAGGTGTTGATTAGCAGGTCCTAGGAGCACTTCCTAAGCTTTATCAACAAAAGGATCAGGGAGAAGCATAGGGGCACAGCAAGCTAATCCTCCACCTGTGGTGCTGGCATCCCATGTGGGCACAGGTTCTCTAGCCCTGGCTGCTCCATTTCCAACCCCACTCCTTGCCAGTATGCCTGGGAAAGCAGAGGAGGATGGCTTTGGACCTTTGCATCCGCATGGGAGACCCAGAGCACGCTCCTCCTGCCTCTTGACTTCAGACCAGTCCAGCTCCATACGTTGTGGCCATTTGGGAAGTGAACCAGTGCATAAGATCTCTCTCTGTCTCTTTAACAAGAATTAAGTAAACGAGTCAAGTAAAAGAAAGAAACTTTTTTTCTTAAAGGGAGGTAGTCGGCACAACAGGTGGAAAAATGAGGGACTCTCGGACTTTTAGTTCATGGTAACCAACATAGAGACCCTACTCGAGTTTGATGGGAACTTGGTCTTGGCTTTGAGGATCGGTGTGTGTCCCGGAAGTTTGCCGTTGAGTCTTCCAGATCCCTGTGGTGGTGAGGCCAGAAACAGGCAGACGCTCATGACATGTGCTACAGACGGTGAGCGTGGGCTGTGGCTGCCTCAGTGCAGTGAGCACAGGCCCTCCTGTAAGTGCCTACCTGGCCTGGCCAGACACAGGGACATGGAGGGCACGCACCCTGTCCACTGCATGTCAGCGTCTCTAAGCAGAAGGAAGCATCTTGAAGAACAGCCAAGGAAACCAGAGCCTTGGAAATGTATCCCTAAATATCCAAGTGTTGTTGTTGATGATGAGGGAGACACCTTACTATCCAGACAAATTAGAGCAATGTGTGTGGGTATGTGTGAAGATGGCCCGATGATGTCGGTTTGATTACAAGAGAGGAATGAACCACTGCACGAAAGACTCCCCGGGTTTTGGTGAAAACACGTGAGCAAGCGGCTGTTTTCAAGTGGATTGAACCTGTGAGGATCATGGGTGGACCTTAAGGGGCTGAGGGAGGGCTTCAGGAAGTGGCCTTAGCGCTGCCTTGTCCCTGGAGAGTGTAACAGGCACCCACAGTCACCTGCGACTTTCTGGGCACATTGAAAGGGGCAGCATACTTGACAGCAAAGGCACCTATGCTGACCCCAAGAGGGGAAACTGGGTGGGAATGTGGCAGCATCCACCCCACGCATCCTGGAGACCATTGCCCCATCTCAGAGAGAGGGGATGGGACGCTATGGGTGGACCCGTGGCGGGTGCCCACTTCCGGAGCCTCTTTCTGCTCATGCAAAGCTGCAAAACGCTGCAAGCCCATTATAGCCTGTGCTTCGAAGCTTATTTCAGGGTGTGTCGTGTTGAACCACCTGGGGTGCTTCCTAAGAATGGCTCAGGGTAACCCAACTGGGTTGCTGCTGCTGTTGCTCTTGCTGCTGTCGGAAAACAACGTATTCTTGCCTGGGCGGGACTCCGCCTGCGCGAGCATCCACGCACCCCCAGGCTGTCCCCCGGGAGCTGTCCACTGACCTGCAGCAAGCAGCCCCAGGCGCTGGGAGCAGCAGGGAGCCGCAGGCGCACACCTTCCGCCGGCTCCCTGCCGTTCTGCTGGTTCTGCAAAGCCCCACATTTCCTCCAAAGCCATCTTCCATTCATATGCTGGCTCTAAAGACCTAGGACGCTGGGCAAAGCTAGGGTGCCGGGGTAAGGGGTAGGGGCGGGTCGTGTGAGCCTCTAGGAAGACAGGGGCAGGGGGAGGGGTTTGCAGTCAGTGTGTTGGGGATGGGACGGAGGTAAGGGAGGGACAGCCCCGGGATCTCACAATGCTGCCTGGAAGGTGGGAATCTGTACCGAGGGTCAGCTTGGTGTGTGGTGGGGGGAGGGGGTATTTTCTGAAGCAGCAGTGCCGGCCCCTCCCCCTTGCCTTATCGGCCATCGCCGCGGGCCGCTGTGAGAGGGATGAGAAGGCAAACGAATCCCATCTTGATGGAAAGAAGCAGGAACAATGGTGTGTTTGTGTTTGAGCGTCAGG